CTGAAAAGGAGGACATCTAAGGTCTTACAGACGAATTGAAAAGAATGAGATTTCTATTAACAGAACTAGAAAACACTTTAGGTGGAGAAAATTTGGGAGACATTTAACTAGGATTTAAGTTTCAGACACAGTTAAGCTTGAAGCACTAATTAGAAATTCAACCGGAATTGGTGAGTGGGCAACCAGGAAGGCAGCCAGAGTCTTAGATACAGACATGTTTAGGAGATGACTGTGTTTAAAGTCTTACTGTGAAGATAAAATATGAAGGAAATGGAGTTTATCAGTGAAAGAGGTAAAAGGCCTATATTTAAGGGACTATGCTACCAGGTGTTTGGTAAAACCAGAGAAAGTCAGCAATGGAGATTCAGAAACAAGACACAAGAAATATCATACTGTAGAATATGGTGAGCTATGTGAAGAAATGATACACGGAGAAAGAGATGGCCGAGACGAGAAGCGAAAATAGTTCAGATATTCAGGGCTGGGTGGGCAGATAAGAAGGAGCTAGTGCTTCCATAGGGTGGGACAATGAACAACATAAATCAGCATATTTTTGGTAAATGGCATAATACGGATGTGTCTTGAAAATATTGCATCATGTGAAGGAAGCCAGGCATTCATATATAAATTAAAGGTTCTAAAAAGGCATACTGATAGCGACAGGATGTAGATTAGAAATAGCTGAGACATGGTGAGAAACTATTGATTGTTCTGAGACAATTTTAGTCATAGCGACACAACTGTACACGTTTAATATAGCTCACTGACCTGTGACTTTAAGAGGGATGAATGTTACAGGATGTAATTGAATCTCAATCCTCCTAAGACAGGAGGGAAAGAGAGTATTGAGAGGGAGTGAGGAGTGAGGAGGATGGCATGGGTAGAACTGACTACTGTTTTTACCGTCAAAGCCTGGGAAGGGAGCAGGAAAGTTTGGTTAGTGGTTAAGAGCACTGGCTGCTCTTGCAGGGGACCCGGGTTTGATTCCCAGCACCCACATGGCAGCTTACAACCGTCTGTAACTCCAGATCCAGGGGATCTGATGCCTTCTTCTGGTCTCGGAGGGCACTGCAAGCACACGGTGCACATACTTGTAAGCAAAACATTTATACACATAAAATAAAAATAAATGAACCTTTCCCAAAGCTTATGGAATATTTTGCTGTGAAGAAGAAAAGAAAAATGAGATAAAAACTGAAACAGGACATTGGTCAAAAATGGTTTACTTAGTATTATATTTTGATGGAGAAAATAAAGGCATATCCCATGCTGATGGGAGTTGGTGGCGGAAAGGGGATGTAAACCACTGGTAAAGATGCAGGAGAAAGGAGAAGTGATGAAGATTTTTCTCCATAAAGAAAGAACTGCAATGTACCAGCTGACAGGCTGAACTTAAAAGTTCATTAGGGCATATGGCATGTTACAATAAAAGACAGGTCAGCGGCTACAGACACTAATGTGCATGTCCCAGGCACATGTTGTCAATGTTCTTCTCAAAGTGAAGTAATATGTAGGATGAACCACGAAGCCTGAGGATGGGGTGAAAAGACTGACGAGTCGACCAAAGCAGGGAGAGAAACCTTCCTCCTTCTGTTCTTTTTGAAATTCTTTTCGCTGCTTATTTGACAACCGAAATTTGGGGTTTACGCGGAGACAGGTCTGCATCAAAAGCTTTTGTTTCATTTTGTGCGCCTGGTCTTATTCTTTATTTTCTGGCTTTATTTGTTTTTAAGAGAGGTCTCTTTAGGCAAATATGTCCAGGCATACTGTGCTCTGATAGTGGAATTAGTGTTTTACCAGGTGGTAAGTCACTGGGACACAGGCAAAGGAAGACAAGGAAACCATTATGTTCAAGAAAATGCTCGTGGTCCTAGGAAAGAATTCAGCTAAAGGAGAGGAAGTGGAGTAGAAAGAGACCTGTTCGATCATCCGTAAAATTTCATGAGATTAATGGATTTCCAGAATAAGATTATGGGAAGAAATGAGACAACAGTAGGTGCTGATGGGCGGAAAGGATGACTCTATCCAGGGAATTGTGAGGTATTGACAATTCCAAGCCTGGTGGGCAGGCTTGACTGTGGAGCTAGACTGAGCGGACAGTCTCTCTGCTTTAAGCTTACTTATTTCAATCAAAGGTCAATAAAAAATATTCTTTTATAATTTCATGATTTTATTTTATTATTGTTTTTCATTTATTTGTGTATCTGTGTGTGTATTCTACTGGTGTTTGTAAGGTTACTCTGGAGGCCAGAAGAAGGTCCTCAAGAGCTGAATTTATAGGCAGTTGTGAGCATCCTGAGATGTGTGCTAGAAACAGAACTGAGGTCCTCTGCAAGAACAGTCAGTGCTCTTAACTGTTATATCATCTCTCTAGCCCCTCACCAATCAATCAAGAATAATATTCTTAACTCATGATTATCATGTGTGCAATTCACTATATTATTTATCCTCCAGGAGTCTTTATACTTTTCTCTACCAAGAGGATAATATATATATAATTTTGCAGCTGTGTTCATTATATATCATCCTCTCACACTATACCATTTTTCTCCCTTATATCCATGTTCCAACAGCACTGCAATGCAGCGTAAATCCATGAAAACCCAGTTTTCCTCACAGGGTTTCTCCACAGGGTTAACGCCTATCAGCGTAGTGGTGCCATGCCTTCCTCTCAGGGTCTTGGGTTATTTTCATCCCCAGCCTCGTCTTTGCTTTCTCTCCTCTGTTTTTAGCTGACGATCATTTACCTAACAGGACACTTCAAGGTAATCTCTTCTAATAACCGACATTCTGCTTAATCCCTTTTAACACCATGGATCTTTTCTGAATCTACTGTTTTATCACCTAAATAGGTAAAAAGGGCATTTACCTGAGAGCAATCAAATCTGTATTTAGATTCTGTTAAAATAACAGGTGTTGTCTATAAATTTCTCAAACGTCTCAGACGCATGGGGATTAGTAACCACAGTTTAGAAATTGGATGACTATAACTAAAAAGTATACCTGACTGTGGTTTTTAACTGAGCTTCAAGATAAATTATTTTTGGAAATATTTCCCTCTTGAAATATGATATGCGCTACTTTCAGCTAAGGAGCTATTTGGCATCTGGTAGGTGCTGTGACAGCAGGAACCAGTTTTTTTAAGCCTATGACACTTGGTAGGCAGCTGACCAGTCAGGGCAAGTTTCATACCCAAGAATATTTGGGCAAGGAATATCAGACACACTCGGGGGAAAAGAGTATGATGTTGGGTAGGTTGGGGGAGGGTTGCATGGGTAGGGAGGAGGGAGGATCTTGGAGACGTTGGGTGAGAGGGAAATATGATCAAAATGCCTTGTACAAAGTTCTCAAAGAATTAATAAAAATTTTTAAGCAGAAAAGGATCAGATAAAGGTAAGAAGCATTAAGATGTAGGTTCTTTTATGATTTTTCTTTTGTTCAGAATTTTTCCACTGGATTATATATCTGCTCTATATCAAGTTGCCAAAAGAGCATAGAATCAATCACTTTTTCCTTACTCTTATAGGCAAACTGGGCCAAAACCCAAAAATAAGTGAACTAAGCTTTGTTTGACTCTCAACATTTCTTAGCAGTTTTCGTTCTCTGTGGTAAGCAACACTATAAGCACCCACATATAAATCCTGTCCCATGAAACAAGGGACACATTGGCGTCATCCAGCTGCCTGACACTTCAGATTTGAGAATTTTACTCTCTTACTCCATCTGGCCTCCTGTACTCCAGGCAACACGGTCCTCAGCAGAGGGAGAGGCACAGGCCTAGCAGTCACGGGTGCTGTCCTGTGTGGGTTAGGGACATTATCCTTAATTACTCATCCACCCTTCTGATACGGATCAAGGCAACCATGCGAGTGTCAGCTGGAATGTTCTCCGGTCACCCACTGTCTAGAAGAGTGAGCAAACAGCACGGGAGAGTGGGAGCAATGTAGGATGGGGTGCTACTGTACCTGGAGAATGAGGAGGTGGAGAGCACATCAGGACAACCCCCTGGTCTTCCCTCACAGAGACAGCACTTCTCGTCCGGCCACTAAAATTTCCCAGATCTGTCAACATAACACAGCATTTAGATGCAATGTATAAAGGAAAAAATTTAATGACTTACAACTTGTACTTATTGTTCTATTGTTATACTGACAATGATCTTTTTTATTTACTTTGTATAGCTGGGAGGGTCTCATAAATAAATCTGTAATCATGCTATAGTAAATGCCACAATTCCAATGAATCTATAGTAGTCACAGAAATAAACAGCACATTCTCTATTTCTATTTCTGTGCATCTATTCCAGGGCAGAAAGAAACTAAACAATACATCATCTAAACACAAGGCTATTTCTTAATAGTCCTTCTGACATATTGATCTTTCTACAAGGAAAACCTCTTTATTCATAATAAGGAGAGAAATGGAACTGGTTGATGGTGCCAAGTGTCCTGCCTCCTATATCCCATTAATGACCATGCCAGCGTAGGGTAAAGCCAAGCATGGATTTGCAAAATGAGAGACTTGTGTGCTCTAACAAAATATAACGAGGCTTCTTTTCTGTAGGAGCGGATGTGAAAGTAATGTTCCTTCTTTTTACGGAAGGCTAAAGTGGACCCTCTGAATTAATTGTGCTCATCTGTTTGGTTAGCATGGGCTGTTACAGCTACCAGAGCTTCTAAGCTTGTGAGATGAGAGTGTTGGAGTCCCAGATTCCCTTCAAATTGCACTGCACGTACATGGCTGGAGAGCCTTTCTTCAAAATGGGCCTGAAGTGGAGAAATGTGTAGCTGAATTTGTGTTTTCATTCTGGATCTGTCGCACCATGGTTCCATGTGAAGAAACACTGTTTAAAATGTTCTGATATCCTCCCATAAAAATTAGAAAAGTTTGTTTTTACAATGTTAATTATTTCATCCCTAAATAATATTTTTCACAGAAATACAAGCTGGAGCTTTAAATAGAATGTTTATCAACTTGTCAAGGGATATAATTAATCAGATAAAGATACTGGGTGGTCGTAAAGGAGACAACTGCTAGTTTTAGACACCATACAAGGAATATTCTAAATGTTTTCCTTTTCTTTTTGGTACCGAGGACTGACCCCAGAGCTTGTGTTTAGTGAGCGAGTGCCCCACCACAGAGGTGCATGCCCGTTATTCTTTTCACTCTTAAATTTTGAGTCAAGATTGTACTAATTTGCCGGCCCTGGCCTTTAGTGCAGGATGTGGCCCAAGTGAACCTTAACTCAAATTCCTCCTACTTCAGACTCCCTAGTACCTGGGAATTCATGGAGGCGTATAGCACCAAGTTCTTTGAATTTTAGAAAACACAACTTTCTTAACTTTTAAATTTATAACCATATCTCTTATTCTTTGGTTGCTAGCCTTAGCCTTTAGTGGCAGTGCCATCTCCCCAGGCCCAGACCTTTTAAAATAAAGTCACAATGATGGAGAACGAAATGCAGTGAAACATGTTGGTAGATAGATGACAGAAAGAGAAAGAGCTGAGGAGTTTCTAAAAAAGTAAGTTTTAACAAAGCAGCAAAAGAGAGAGAAGAACTCAGTTCTGTATTTTTATTGGGAAATGCTAATATTTTTAAATGACAATAATTTTTTAATAGAAAATCTCTTTCATTGGCAAATGTATGTGTCTCCCTGAAGGCCACTCCTTGGGTCTCTACTACTGGATATGTTTGCCTCGTTTATACTTTTAAAAAATTTTATAGAAATTTTTGTGATTTTCATACAATATGCCTTGATGGTATTTAGAACCGCTCCCATCTGCACCCTCACCCCCCCCCAAGTCAATACACCCCATTATATAAACAATTCGACCCATAGAGTATAATTTTTGTCCTCACGTGTCAGTGTGGAGCCAAGCACCAGAGCCTGATCAACCTACCAAGAGTCCCGTCCCTGTAAGAAACTGTTTCTCTCTCTTCTAGCAGCTATCAGTTGCCAAAAGTTCCCTAGGTTGGGCTGGGATTTCTAATTCACTTCTCCATATCTAAGTTGCAATTTTGTCTGTTTGGAGCTTGCATGGACTTGTGCCTGCTGTCACCATTGCTATGAGTTCATATGAGCAACTGACCAGCTGTGTGGAACACTGTTTCCTTAAGGTCATCCACCACATCTTAAAATCTTTCTGCCTGTTCTTCTAAAATGATCTCTGGGCCTTGGGAGGCTGGGTTTGAAATAGGTGTCCAGTCAGGGATAAGCACTCTGCAGCTTCTTGTTCCATGTACACTGGCCGATTGTGGGTTTCTATGTTAATCACCACCTCCCATGTATGGAAATTATATGCTGAGAGTTAAGAGATGCAGTCATCCTATATGAAGAGGTTGCATTGAAGATGCGTCACAGGGTTAAGTGAATTGTACACCCTTTTTCTCTTTGCTTGACTAATTGTGTAACTTTCTGTTAGTCTCCATCTATTGCAAAAAAGAAGCTTATTTCATGAGTGGTGAAAGTTACACTTGTCTGTAAATATGAGGATGCATATTTAGAACACAGTAAGAAATTATGTCAGTTTAGGGATGTGGCAAAAGTAGATTTTACCCCGTGATCTCACCTCTCCAGTCATGAATATTTGGTTATGTTTACAGTATCACATATGACTTCCCTCCCATACAATTAGAATAAATTCCAATTAGACAGTTGTTGATTACCCCCAAGAAAAAATTGCCACTAATATAGCAATAGTAAGTTTGCTGGGCCTGTAATTTTTGTTTATCAGACTTTACAGCTGAGTAGGACCATTGATTGGTTTTCTCCCTCAGCAGCTTACATAGTATCTTCTTATACCCTAAGCTCTAGTCTTTGGTGAGGACTCTTCCAGGTCAGTTCCAGCTTGATTGCTTCAGATCCTGTGTCCCAAGTATGTCCTGTCTTCAGCAATAGGGTCATACCTTCAAATTCTGGGAAGCAATCAAGGCTGTGACAATAGTCTCTATTACTTTGAAAGTCTCTTATACTACCCTGATCAACTCAAAGGGGGTTTGTTTCTCCTGCCTGGCACTGTCTATTGTTATACAGCATTCAACAAAGCATGCATGTGCACACACACATATACACACATATATGAAGTGTGCACATTTTTTAGTAGGGCTTTGAACTAACACATTTACCTCTGGTTTTTGCCCCACCTGAACATTATTTATGTCACCTCTTACTACCCCTGTGTAACTCTTCCTACTCCCTCCCTGGATAAAGTGCCTCCTTTTTCTCCATTGATAACACCTGTCTCCTACTATCCCCTCTCTCCAGCTCCTCATTGTACACCCTCAAGGATCCTTCCCATTTTCCCACTCCTCTGGTTAAATCAGGGAATAAATCCAATCTACGGATTTGGAGCCAGAATTCGCAAATGAGAGACAACACACATCTCTTGTTTTTCTGAGTCTGTGCTACTCACTTGGTGTATGTGACCCAGATGTTCCTCTGATAAGCCATGGTCCCACCTCCTTCCCATGCTCTGTGGGAGGGGTCAAGCCCATCAAGGGGTGGAGCCGCCATCTTATTGGGTGCAGGGAACATGGGCAGTGAGAGAGAGACGGGGTGGGAGATGGATGACATGAGCATTTCAAATATGGAGAAGCCTATAAGAATCCCTGTTTTTGTAAGTCAGCCCTCCCAAATGTCATATAAACTATGCAAAATTCAAATAGGATGTCTCATGTTGGTCTGTCAGCCCTGCGCCCCAAAGGGCACAAGTAAGAGTTTCCCAAGAAAGGGGAGGGGAAAAATCGAGTGAAACAAAATAACAATTTCTAGGTGCAACTGTGTACCTGCAAAGTTCTTTTTTTTTTTTTTAACTCAATTGTGTCAATGTACCACGTTCATTATCCATTCATCAGTTGAAGGATATTTAGGTGGTTTTTATTTCTTAGCTTTTATGAAAACAACAGCAACAAACATGGCTTTGCAAGCATCTCTGTAGTAGGATGAGTCCATTGAGTATATGCTAAGGAGTGGTATAACTGGGTCATAAGTGGTAGATTTATTCTGAGTTTAACGAATTTGCCATCCTGACTTCCAGAGAGGTTGCACAAGTTTACAAACTCACCAACAGCGGAAAATGGTTTCCCTTTTCCTCACACGTAGGCCAGCATTTATTGTCATTTGTTGTCTTAATCTTAGCCATTCAACAGAGGTTTGATGAAATCTTAAAGTGGTTTTTATGTGCATTTCCCTAAATTTTGACGATGTTGACTACTTAAGGTGTTTCTTAGCCATTGTTGTTTCTTCTTGTGAGAGCTTTCTGTCCAGATCTATGGTCTATTTTTTGAGCCATTTATTTTTCTGCTCCGTGTGTGTGTGTGTGTGTGTGTGTGTGTCTGTGTGTGTGTCTGTGTGTCTTTGTGTGTGTAGTTCTTTGTATATTCTGTAACTTAGTCTTCTTTCAGATGCATAGCTGGTGAAGAATTTCTCCCACTTGCAGGCTTTCCCTCTGTTTGAATGGTTCCTTCCTTGTTGTACAGAAGCTTTTTAGTTTACTGAGGTCCCATTTGTGGATTGTTGACCTTAATTCCAGAGAGACTCATGTGTGATTTAGACATCTTTCCTGCTCCTGTAGCTTACCTATACCTTGTAGGTAATGCCTATGTTTTTTTCTCATAGGCTCAGCATTTCAGGTCTCACATTTAGGTCTTTGATCCATTTGGAGTTGACTTTTGTGCAGGGTGACAGGTATGAGTTTAATTTCATTCTTCTACACATTGAGATCCAGTTTTCCCAGCACCATTTGTTTAAAATACTACTGTCTCTTCACCAGTGTGTATTCTTGACACCTCTGTCAAATACTGGGTGGCTGTAATTGCATGCACTCATTTTTGGGTCATCTATTTTGTTCCTTGATCTACAAGTCTGTTTTTGTGCCAACACCATGCTGTTTTATGACCAAAGCTCTGCAATATAGACTGAGGTCTGGTATATTAATCCCCCTTCCAGCATTGATCTTTGTGCCCAGGATTGCTTTGCCTATCCAGAGACTTTTGTGCTTCCATATGAATTTCAGGATGGCTTTTTCTATTTGTGAAACATGTCATGGGGCTTGTGGTTGG